GATATTTTGGTCTCTACCTCCTTCCAGTTCTGTTCTGATCTCCGTCACTTTCTTGCCTTCTGCCAGCTTTGATGTGTGGGGTTTGCTCTTGCATCTCTAGTTCTTTCTAATTGTGAATGTTTAGGGTGTTCAATTTTAGATCTTAATTTATATTTTGTGATATCCCACAGCTCTTCTGCAAATTGAGCGGCTGGCCCACCTGAGTCGCAGAATCTACAAATACTCTCATCATACTTTTGTCCTCATGCAAGAATTCGTGAGACCGGGCTGTAAGAAAACATGGATGGAGTTCCGGGCTGCTCTCTGCATGAAATGCGGGGAAAAGAAGAGAGAACAATTGCTTTGCACAATCATTTTTTTAAAAGATGGGGTCTTGCTCTGTTGCCCAGCCTGGAGTTGCTGTGGTTGTGATCATTTTAGCTGACTGCTGGTCTGGAACACATTGGCTCAAGAGATTCTCTAGCCTCAGCCCCCAAGTAATTAGGGACTAAGATGCGCCCCTAACCATGGCCAGGACTGATTTCTTTTTTTTACTTTTCTAGAGAATAGTCTTACCTATGTCACGCCAGTGTTTCTCCAAATCCTGTTCTTCAGAGGCCTTGGCCTCCCAAAGCGCCTGGGATTTACAGGCTGGACCCACCTAGTACCAGCCATAAATGCAGCAAATACATTAAAGCAGTAAATGATGGAGTGGTGTGTGACGGTGCTAACCTTTACGATAGCATTTGCTTGCAGTAGGCCAAGGATTCATATGCTTCAACAGGCATACAATGCTCTTTCACAACCTATGATAAAATGCTAGCTTCCTCGATTTTTTGGTTTTATTGAATTTTTGTATCTATTTGGGATTTACTACCATTTCAGATATAGTCACAAAATAAAAATGTTTTTAAGATAACATGGCTGAGTAGTAATTGTTTGTACTCTAGTTGAAAAGCCTAGACATAAAATATATTTGAAAAGTATAATTAAATCTTGAAAATCATTGTAAGTTTATGTTTTTAAAATAGTATCAAAGGCAAAGAATATTTGCTATATTTATTTTTACTGGAGCCAATGACAACATCTCTTGGTTTATATGAAATTTGATTTGAACCTGAATATAAGAAATGTTTGAGTAGGTGGAGAAGAAAAAGAAGGAAGGGGGTAGGAATTATTCAGTTTCCTCAAGATTCTTGAGTCATCATTCCAGATATGTCCCAGTTCTTGCTCTGTGCTCTAGAGAGAGGAAAGTTAAATAATAATTCCAGATATGTCCTGGTTCTTGGTCTGGGCTCTTGAGAGAGAGGGGAAGGCAGTGTCTTCTGATAGAGTTTAGAGAAGGGGGCGGCTGCATGAAAAAAGCAAAATAATGAGGCATATGGAGGTTGAAAAGAGACTCAGGTAATCAAAGTCGCTTCATCTCCATCTCCTGCAGATCTATCCAATAAAAAAGAGAGAGGACCGCAAACGCCTAGCTCTCATCATATGCAATACAGAGTTTGATCATCTGCCACCAAGGACTGGGGCTCACTTTGACATCCTGGGGATGAAAGGGCTGCTTCAGGGCCTGGGCTACAATGTGGTTGACAAAACGAAACTCACAGCCAAGGTAAGAACCCCTAAGCCATCTCACACTCACCCATGGGCAACATATATTCTTCTAATTAGTTAGCTTTATAGAAGTCCAACAAGGTTTAACAACCTCTGGGTTCATGTGTGTGTGTGCGCACGCATACACGCACACATGCACTAGCAAAAGAAACTATTGAATACATAAATCTGTGTCTCTTCTGAGCCTCAAATACCCTCAACTCCATAAAACTAGACAAAATATGATTGGCATGTATTTTCACAATTATTATTGAGTTCCAGTAAGATCAGGTGATTGGGATGTAGCCCCAAGATTTCACAGGAAATCACAGAGTAATGTGTTTTTGGCATGAGTGCACTTTTTTTTTTTTTTTGAGACGGAGTCTCACTCTGTCACCCAGACTGGAGTGCAGCAGCATGATCTCGGCTCACTGCAACATCCACCTTCCAGGTTCAAGCAATTCTCCTGCCTCAGCCTCCCGAGTAGCTGGGACTACAGGCGCGTGCCACCACGCCCAGCTAATTTTCTGTATTTTTAACAGAGATGGGGTTTCACCGTGTTAGCCAGGATGGTCTCGATCTCCTGACCTCGTGATCTGCCCGCCTCAGCCTCCCAAAGTGTTGGGATTACAGGCGTGAGTCACTGCACCTGGCACAGGAGTGCACTCTTAAAACAAATATTAAATCCAAACTTTGGGGCCAAGAGCTTTTCCTGATGCTGTGGATAAGTCTGTAAATGATACAAGAAGCTTCAAATTTACAAGGATCTAGGTTAGAGTGGAGGTAAAATCTCACAATATAAGCAAAACCAGACCAATTTCAGAGAATGAGTGTGTGTATGTGTCTGTATAAGAATAAGAAGAGAATCCAAAATAAGCAAAAAGAAAACAAAAAGGAAACATGAGAGGGAATGTTGGATGGAGTGTGACGTTTTTGGGTTGGTCCAGAAAAGCCTCTGTCGGGAGAGAACACAGGAGTTGGACTGAACTACCAAAAGGAATGAGATGGCTCTGGGAAGATGTGAATGCAGTGCCTTCCAAGTAGGGGGAGCTACCTGTGAAAGAGCTGAGCTGAAAATGAAACTGGCACACGTGAGGCACAAGAGAAGACCAGTATGACTACAGATTGAAGCAGAACAGACATAATGTAAGGGTGAGAATGGTCAGGCAAGAAGATTGATTTTATTCTAAGCAACGTACATTGGATTTTACAAGGACGGTGCTGTGATGCATTTATAACACATGACTCTTGTTAGGAAAGGAGAGACAAGATTGAGATTTAAAAAAAGTAATATAAGTAACATATAAAAATATACAGTATATTAAGAAGACAGTGCATGGTGCGTCAGCAGGGAGAAAAAGTAGGAATCCACAGCTCCGCTACGAAGGAAAAAATAAATAAAAAAACAAAAAACATAAAACAGCTGTCATGACTGAGTAAGCACTATGTGAAGCACCGTGACACAGATGTTACATATTTTACTTGTTTCACTCATGGTAAATCTAGGACATCCTATTAATTGTGATACTTCTCTGACTGAAGTTAGACATTGCTCTTTTACAGGAAATGGAGTCAGAACTGAGGGCTTTTGCTAGGCGACCAGAGCACAAGTCCTCCGATAGCACGTTCCTAGTGCTCATGTCTCATGGCATCCTGGAGGGAATCTGCGGAACTGCACATGATGAGAAAAACCCAGATGTGCTGCTTTATGACACCGTCTTCCAGATATTCAACAACCGAAACTGCCTCAGTCTAAAGGACAAACCCAAGGTCATCATTGTCCAGGCCTGCAGAGGCAGTGAGTGCTGGGACTGAACATCTAACAGTTACGAAGGTGTATGCAGAGGATTTTGATGTTTAGTTTATATTTAGGGGCAACAGTCTTAGACCCCATCTAGTGCAAATAAAGTACAATGAATTCTAAAGAAACTCTACCTAAGGGTCTGGTATAATGAGAAATTGTCTCATCAGCGGAGAAATTTCTGTACAATTTTATCCACAGTAAGTGGTGAGGGAGATCACCAGAATCCCTAAATCAAAGTTAAACAGAAATACTGAAACTTTGGAATGGAATCATTTTCATGATAGCTTGATTTGTAAATGTTTTACAGATATTTTGACATTATGTGGTTTCTGAAGAATTTGCACTTGAAACTGAAGTTATCATGTGAGACACGCACCCTATTTATTTATAGTTGTTGAAAGGAAAACGAGTAGGGAGTTAAGAAAACTTAAGGGGTTTAAGTCAATCTTCTCTCTCTCTCTTTTTATTCCTGACTTCCAATTGCCTCATGACTATTGGGATGTATGTTTTGTTTGTTTTTTAAGAAAGCAGAAATAACTTAACTGAAAACTGGTAATGACATGATAAATTCACTGTTAATTGACACATTGTTGAATGACACTAGAGACGAAGCAAAGTGTGTGTGTGTGTGTGTGTGTGTGTTTGCATGTGTGTGGGTCTGTATATATGTATTAAATTAGTTAGAAAGAACACTGAAAAATAACAAGGTGGGCAACTGTGATAGCCATGGTAAGGGAGGCACAGCAGTGTATAAAAAGTTGATGCCTCTTGAACCAACCCAAATGCCCATCAATGATAGACTGGATATAGAAAATGTGGTACATATATCCCATGGAATACGGTGTAGTCATAAAAAGGAATGAGATCATGTCCTTTGCAGGAACATGAATGAAGCTGGAAGCCATCATCCTCAGCAAATTAATGCAGGAACAGAAAACCAAACACTGCATGTTCTCACTTATAAGTGAGGGCTGAACAGTGAGAACACATGGATACAAGGAAGGGAACATCACACACCGGGGCCTGTCGGGAGGTCGGGGGGAAGGGGTAGGAGAGTCTTAAGGCAAATACTTAATGCACGTGGCTTAAAACCTATATGATAGGTTGATAGGTGCAGCAAACCACAATGGTACACATATAACTATGTAACAAACCTACACATTCTGCATTTCTATTCTGGAACTTAACGTAACCTAAAAGACAGAAAAAAAGAAAAGAAAGTTGATGTATCTTTGATGTCTCTACAGAAGGACGTGGGGAACACTGGGTCAGAGACTCTCCAGCATCCTTGGCAGTCATCTCTTCACAGTCACCTGAGAACCTGGAGGAAGATTCTGTTTGCAGAGTCCACGTGGAGAAGGACTTCATTGCTTTCTGTTCTTCAACACCACGTATGTGTCTTTTAGCAACAGTAAAAAATGTGGGGGTGCTGAGGACACCTTTGAATGACCCTATGAAATCAACATAGGCCCTAGGCAACAATGAGTTGAGAGAATGGTGTGTGCTCTCTATATATTTTGCATGATCTTATGTGTGCTGTGAGAACAGATTCCTTCCCCCTCCCACACACACATTTTAAGAAATTGTAGTTTTTTTATAAGTGTTACACTTTACAGTCAAAGGTATGCCAAATATTGTAAAGCAATACAATACAAGTAACCGCATTCATCACACACCATGTGAACATAAATGATGGATTCTGTTTTTTTATCAAATCCATTTAACATTTTGAATATAAGTTTTATGGATCCCAGTACTGGCTGTCTTTCTAAATGAGCAACTTCAAGCCCTCTTCCACATACATTCCACTTGATCCTACAAAGAGCAATGTTATTGAGTGTCCAGATAAAAATGTGAATGCCCTTTAAAAAAAAGTAGGAAATGTTAGGGTGGGGCTAATTAGGTCTAATTACAGGAAACAGTGGTTTGCATTTCACCTCTAGGTAATCATCCTAAAGGTCTTTACATTTTACTCTTTCCAAGTTGTAAATTTTTAAGTCTTATTTTTAAACCACTTTATGGAGGCATAACTGACATACAAAAACTGTACATATTTAATGCATGCAACTTAATAAGTTTGGAGATTAGTACACACCCCTCAAATCATCACCCAAATCTATGCTGTAAATATCTCTGTCTCCTCCAAAAGATTCCTCCAGCTCTCTATTTATTATTATCATCATTCTGCAAGGGTGTGATAAAGATAATTTATATAAGATCTACTCTCTTTACAAATTTTTAAGTGTATGAGACAGGATTATTTACTATTGGCACCATATTATACAGTATTTTTCTATGATATTTTAATCTTCTATAACTGAAACTTTGGATGTGTTCATCTATTTTGTTTATTGTATGGTAAAAGACATCATGGTGCAATCTGTAAACAATCCTGGAACCAGAAAGCAATTTTTTGTTGCTTCGTCACTGAACCTTTATTCATCCTTCTGGGCTTCTGTTCTTTACTTTGTAAAGCGGAACAATTCCAGTTATTTCTCAAGACCCCTTTTCTAAGCAAAGTGAATGAACATGGGGTCCATAATAGAAAGTCAGTTCCAAGAATGAAAATACAATCACTATGCAATCTCTTGTAATGTTTACAAGCTGTCTTTTTTGTTCAACCTTTGCCAGCTTTTCTGTTTCCTCTGTGTGAAACCTAAGTAAATGTTAGGTTATAAGGGATTTCCATAAATCTATCAAGTAAATTCCCAAGCTATGCAAAAACAAAAATATAAACAAAAACATAGTGAAAGTCGTAGCCCAAGGTATATCAGTCTGTATCATCATAGATAACATGTCCTGGAGAGACCGCACAAAGGGCTCCATCTTCATCACGGAACTTATCACATGCTTCCAGAAATATTCTTGGTGCTACCACCTAATGAAAATATTTCAGAAGGTAAGCTTCCGTTTCCTTTTCTAGTCATTTATTTATTTGCTCAGAAAGAATTTATCATTATTCCCTAATCGAATGAAAATGACACACTTCTTCAGGCAAGCAAAAGTAGAACGGCACCTGATTTCTGTCATTCAGGTGTTTAAAATCTGGTTTAGAGAAAGAAATTGTCAATATATCCCAGAAGAAGAGCAAAGTAAAACAAAATAATATCAGCTATAAGCTTCATGTTTTGGGTTGTAAGTTATTAAAATTCAGAGAATAGAAAACATTTTGAAATAATTTTGATTAATTTACTAAATGAATAAAAACTGGATGGAGGTGATGGACTTCATCCTGATAACAAAGGGGTAAATGAGGTTTGCATGGCTTAAGACTACCTAGGACTCACACTTTTGTGAGAGATATGGATACTGGAAATATGGGCTGACAAAAAAATGTGTAATTACACATTGTGGTAGAATTCATAAAGGCATGTAAGAGGGAATAAAAAAGAAATCACTCTTTCCATGGAAAAGGGCAGAAGGGAAGGTTTACTATTCTTTGCCCATCTTGGGACCTTCCTTATTTCCCGTCCTTCCTACTTTATTTTCTCCACAGTTCTTACCTCCTCCCACTAAGCATATATTAATAGTTTATTTATGTGTCTGTTTTTTACCTGTATTTACTCACTAACATGCAAACTTCAAGAAGGCGGGGATTTGCTCAGCACCTCAATATGCCTGACATATAGCAAACATTCAATTAATATATATTGAATAAATAGATGCATAAATGAATAGATAAATGTTCCTTCTCTTTTTAAGGGAAAATAGGATTGGTATTAACACAGGAAAGTGTGGTTGTTTCTAAATTAAAAATTGTAGAAAACAGTAAAACTCTTGTGGGAAGAATATATACCACTGGCGTTTAAAGAAGATTGTACCATAAATTGAGACAGGGTTTCTGTGAATAGAGAACTGGGACGTTAAGTCCTTTTGGATGATTAGGAATGAGACATTGTACTTTTGAGGGTATTCCTGGAAAAAGACTAGAAATACTGGATTTACGGTAAGCAGGATCTCATTGATCAGTCCTTGCATAAGATTTCAGGGGTCAGTTTGGTGGTGTCGGCATGAAAGTTGTTCAGTGTTCAGGCCTTAAAGCAAGATTCTGGGATTTAATTCTACTTAAATTGCAGAATCAGCCTTGGTGAGGGTTGAAAGTACTAAGTCTTCCATATCCAGTTCTCATGAGCATATCTCAAGGGATATTTAATTGATTTCCACATCTGTAGGTCAAAAATGGAAAATAGAGAAAATGGAGGTTGAAAAGCCTTGACTTGGCATGCAGTGTTTATTTTGATGTAAAGTGTACAGTCTGACATGGGGTGTCAATTCTAAGAGGTAGGGTAGCAGCGTTAAGGAGTTGGAATATCCATGGGCTTGGTCCTATCAACCCTGGAAGCTGTCTTCATTCCAGGTATTTCCTGGTTCATGGTGCAAAGTGCTTTCTGAGAATCCAAAATCCCTTATATCTCATCTACTGTTTTTTCTTTTAGGTACAGAAATCATTTGAAATTCCAATGGCTAAAGCCCAGATGCCCACCATAGAACGAGTATCCTTGACAAGAGATTTCTACCTCTTTCCTGGCAATTGAAAATGTAAGTATTGAGAGTTGTTGGAGGGTGAAATAAATGAAAGAGCTATATTAGTGGTGAAGTTCAATGACCAATGACAGCTGACCACTTGTATGGTCAAGTTAGAGTTCTTTATTGACGCAGTCTGGTGAGAATTTATGTGCTCTTTTTTATTCTACTTATATGCATTTAGTTTCCCCCAACTATATAATCAATCAAGGAGGTAAGGAAAATTGCAGCAAAATGTAATACACAATGAAAGTCCTAGGTTAGTAATTATTAAAATAGTAATGTATAAACGTTACCATTATTAATTATATTCATCGATCTCTCATACACTCCCTCTCTTTGTCTCTCTCTCTGTTTCTCTCCCATCTGCCACACTTAGTTGCCAACATTGCATCAGACCTTGAACAAAACAGAGCAAACACAGGAGCTAACTATGGGGAAAGCAAGGCTTTGGTCCTCTGAGTGCATGTATCACATTACTGTTGTTGACTTTCTCCTTAGTTCAGCTAAAGATGGGGTCCTTGTCACACGACCATGAGAAATTAGACTCACAGACAATCTGAAAGGTGAAGAGGGCAGGGTTTATTGTGTGAAAAGGAAAAAAAATGGGAAATGGACCCTTCACAGAGCCAGAATCCTGCTAGTGCCTTTCTGCCTTGCAGTTTGAATACCAGGTACCACCCAGGAAGAGGAGGGGCCAGGCTTCTCCCTGCTGCAAATGGCATGAACTTCCCAAGGCTCCACCCCAGTGCACATTCTTCCCAGTGCACAGGCTGGTGGGAGGTTCTGCCAGGGAGTGCTTTTTACTTGGCTCTCTCTTACTGACATTCAGCCACAGTTATTGGACAGTAGAAAATACATGCTTAACTGTAGGTATTTTATTCAGGAAACCTTCCTTGAAATAATGAAATTAGAATAGAGAATGGACAGAGTTGGAGAGTGAACCATGAGGTTCTTATGCAGGAGAGGTGTTCCAGCACAGAATACAAGGGCAAATGCCCTGAGGCAGATAAATGCTAAACATGTTTAAAAAGAACTACAATGAGACAGTGTGACCAAAAGAGAATGCAAGTGAGGGAAATGACAGAGACAAATTAGGAGAAACAGTGAGGAGCCTCATCACATTGTGCTTGAACGTCACATGGTAAATATTTAAAAAAATATTATCTGAGTAGATAGGAAAACCTTCCAGTGCTTTGGAAAAGAGAAGTGACTTAATTTAATTCAGGTTTTACAAAGATACTCCTAAGTACTTTTTGCTAAACAAGTCACAGAGGTCACAGATGGAAGTCAAGGGAAATGACAAAAGCATATGGCAGAAGATGGAAGAAGAATCATAATGAGGGATGGGATGAAGGCAGTGAAGGATAACCATCTTGACCTTCTGTCCTTTCCCTCTTCTGCAGGAAACCACAGGCAGCCCAGCCCTCCTCTGTCAACACCAAAGAGCACCTTTACCTGTATAGCTTGCATATTCAACATTTGGTGTTTTGATAAAAGTAAAGATGGTATCTTTTTAGATTGTATGAACTGTATATTTTTAGATTCTCTCATAGACAATATAATTTCCATGAAAATGGTGGACAAGTGGAAATGAAATGGAAGGAGCTAACTGGATTTTCGAGTTTCATGGCTGATGTAACATCTATACTTGGCTGATGAAGACTACTGGCTGTGACTTACCGCCAACAATAGGATGAAAGAAGATGGTGTCTAAAAGTATAAGAAAGATACCACCTCATACCCATTAGAAGACTCCCATCAAAACATACAAACAAACAGAAAATAACAGGTGTTTGCAGGGATGTAGATAATTGGAACCCTGTGCTCTGTTGGTGAGAATGCCAAATGGCACCACTGTGGAAAACAGTATGGAAATTCCTCACAAAAGTAAAGCTAGAATTATCATAGGATTCAAACTCCACCTTTGGGTACATACCAAAAATAACTGAAAGCAGGATCTCAAATATATATTTATACACCCATGTTCATGGCAATGTTGCTCATGTTATCTAAAATCTGGAAGCAACAAAAGTATCCATGGACTGAAAAATTGATAAGTAAAATATCATATATAGATATACTAAAATGTAATTTAGCATAGAAAAGAGGGAAGTTCTGACATATGCTAAAATATAGAGGAACTTTGAGGACATTATGCTAGGTAAAATAAGCCATTCACACACACAAAAATACAATATGATCACACTTATATGAGGCACCTAGATGATCAGATTCACAGAGACAGAAAGTAGAATGGTGATTGCCAGGTGCTAGGGCAGGAGAAAATGAAGAGTCATTTAATGGTTATAAAGTTTCAGATTTACAAGATAGAAAGAATTCTGGAGGTAGATGGGTGATTGTTGTGCAAAATTATGAATGTATTTAATACTATTTGGCTGTACGCTTAAAACTGTTAAGCTCGTAATTTTGTTATGACATTTTACTATGATAAAAATTGCGAAAATATAATGATAAAATTGAAAGCGAGAAGGTATGAGAGCAACATTAATCAACTTACATAGAGAAAATTTTAGCTACTGAGCAACATTGATGAAAGAAGAAATTATGGTTAAATATATTATTAATTGTTTCACAATTAATAAAAGATTTGAACATCATGACATCATCAAATATTAGGTAGAATAGACTAAATATGTGGCAATGTAAGTGAACTGCATCTCATTTTTCATATGAGGTAGTCAATGGCATTGTTTACGTTCTATATATCAGGAAACACAGAGCTGTAAGAGTCATTATTGAAAATTCCAAATGTTACTGCCAAACAAAACAAAACAAAAACTATTGAAGGAAATTACATCTAGTATGTGGGACTGAAGGTGGGACGAGTTGTACTGGGAAATATGATTTTTATTATATTATTTTCTGTACTACGGACTGTCTCATGAATGTATTACTTTGACAAAACATTTAAAATTATATTGAATTGACACTTTAAATAATTTATAGATGTCCAAAAATCAGATAGTATTGAATTTTAATGTGTTGGATTTTTAAAGGGTTTGTCATATGTTGTGAAGCAAAAATTAAACAAATGGAGCAAATTGTTGATAATATAATAATATGATACTGGTGCTATAAGGAAAAAGGTATAGGTAAGTATGTGTCTGCCAGTTATTTATTTCTGGGTATCAAAACACCCAAAACTTCAGTAGTTTAATGCAATAAGCATTTACTATTGTTCACAAGGTTACCAGTTAGCTAAGTAGTTCTTGACTCTGCTGAGATTATCCATGTGTCTGAGATCACCTGTGCATGGGGTAGGCCTCTTTACTGAAAGGCTAGGATCTCTCATATGTTTGGAAAGCGCAGGGCTGGAAGCTGGTCTAGAATGACCTTGGCTGGGGCAATTAGCCTCTTTTCCATATGATGTGTCTTATCAGCTAGCAATGTAGCTCAGGCTCATCCTAATTTAGGTTCAGGTGTCCACGAGGAAGAAGAGCACCAGGCTTTGTAAAGCCTGAGCTGGGAATTGCACCAGATCCTTCTACTGCATTATGTTGGCCAAAACCAAATCATAAGACTAGTTCAGGGTTGAAGCAAAGGGCAAGGATACTAGGAAGCCAATGATTAAGGAAATCAATAAAATCAGTAATGTATTAAGTGTTTTACAAAAGCATAGAAAAAATTCAGAAAGATGCAAGCTAAACATATAACTGTGGTTACCTTGTGTCAAATTAAAGAGTGTGGATAATCCTTTTCCACTTTACAAACTTTTCTGTTGTTTAATTTTAGTGGCAAACCTATATTTATTATCCGAAAATGATTTAAGTATCAGTCTTTTGTATATTTAATGAACAAAAATACCCAAGTGAGTGTGATAGATAAACAATACCCCAATAGACAAATGAGCAGAACTGGAGAGAGAAGAAAAGAGATCACTTATGTGACTTTTTGAAATAGTGAACGGAGGGCCGGGCACGGTGGCTCAAGCCTGTAATCCCAGCACTTTGGGAGGCCGAGACAGGCGGATCACAAGGTCAGGAGATCGAGACCATCCTGGCTGACACGGTGAAACCCCGTCTCTACTAAAAAATACAAAAAACTAGCCGGGCGAGGTGGCGGGCGCCTGTAGTCCCAGCTACTCGGGAGGCTGAGGCAGGAGAATGGCGTGAACCCGGGAGGCGGAGCTTGCAGTGAGCTGAGATCTGGCCACTGCACTCCAGCCTGGGCCACAGAGCGAGACTCTGTCTCAAAAAAAAAAAAAAAAAAAAGAAATAGTGAACGGAGTATCACTGGCAGCCTGAAGTCAGACTCTGTCCCCTCACCTTCCAAATTTATACTTCCAGAGTTGTGCAGGCATCAGTGGAGTCAGAACTCCGGGCAGTTTAGAGGCTAGTGGTGGTACAATGAAAAATAAGAGTTTAATTTGAATTACTAACGGTGTTAAAAATTGACAGGAAAGCAGAACACAGAGACTTACGTTTGCGTGTAAGTGTGCATGCTTTCATTGTGATAGATTTGTTATATACAAAAGAAAATTTTATGAGGGGGAGGAAAAATCATTGAGATTTTTCTCAATTGAGAGTGCAAAATGATAAGACAAATTTGGGAAAAAAAATTGTATGGTTGCAATGTAAAAGTTAAATTATGGTTTGAAAAGATTAGATGAACTGATGAAACATATAGGAGTAATTATTTGTCCTGGGGACAGTGTAAATTATTTTAGAATATTATTAAACAGGGGCATTATATATATAGTCAGATTTATAATTAAGAAAGATGGCTTGCAGAATGAACAGCAGGTTGAATGGCATACAAGAAGTCAAAATTGCCCGTGTTACAATTCTTTGCCAAGATTCCTAAAACTAAGGTTGGATAGAATTAGAATTCATAACTAGGAATCAAAGTAAAAATGAATTGGATTCAAATAATATTCGTACTTTTTTCTGTTAGTCTTTCATTTCCAAGAGACTTCTCTTTCCCTTCATTCATTTGTGTAGCTATCTTCCATTGGAGAGAATAATAATAATGTCACCCAAAGAGAAAATAATAATTTGACTCAAAAGGGGAACATTAGACTTAAAAATATATACATATATAAAAACTCTCTTATCTGCTTTGAAGGGCAGGCATTTTCTGAAATAAAGACAAAAATTTAGTGAAACTATTTTCCTTTACTCAGAAGAAGGATCCACCGCATTCCTTGTTTCCCTTTCAGTGAAAGAGAAGTAAATAGTGTTGACATATACTCACATTAGCAAGTATTTACACGTATTTTGAAAGTTTTAAAGACATGGTCCCTGTAATCTTTTGCCTTGTAATCTTTTGATCCATAATCCCACCCCACCATCACTTTTAGTTGGAGAATATGTATAACAACAGAGAAAAGTATGAGATGCTTTTTAACTTTTAATTTTTGTGTTATTACAAATAATGAATGCATTTATGAGATACATGAGATATATTGATACAGGCATGCAGTGCACAATAATTACATCATGAAAAAGTAGGATATTTATACCCACAAGCATGTATTCTTTGTGTTACAATCAAATTATCCCCTTTTAGTTATTTTTTAATGTGCAATTAAATTATTTTGACTGTAGTCACTTGCTGTACTCTCAATTACTAGGTCTTATTCATTCAGTCATTCTAACTTTTTGTACCTATTAACCATTCCTACCTCCTACAACCCTCCACTACCTTTCCAGCTTCTGGTAATCAACTTTATACTCTCTATACTCATAAGTTAAATTGTTTTTATTTTTAGAGTCCACAAATACATGAAAACATGCGAGGTTTGTCTTTCTGTGGCTGGCTTATTTTACTTAATGTAATGACTTCCCATTCCACCCGTGTTGTTGCAAATGACAGAATCTCAGTCTTTCTTATGGCTGAATAGTACTGCATTGTGTATATGTACCACATTTTATTTATCCATGCATTTGTTTTTTTTTTTTTTTTTTTTTTTTTTTTTTTTGAGACGGAGTCTCACTCTGTCGCCCAGACTGGAGTGCAGTGGCCAGATCTCAGCTCACTGCAAGCTCCGCCTCCCGGGTTTACGCTATTCTCCTGCCTCAGCCTCCCGAGTAGCTGGGACTACAGGCGCCCGCCACCTCGCCCGGCTAGTTTTTTGTATTTTTTAGTAGAGACGGGGTTTCACCGTGTTAGCCAGGATGGTCTCGATCTCCTGACCTCGTGATCCGCCTGTCTCGGCCTCCCAAAGTGCTAGGACTACAGGCTTGAGCCACCGCGCCCGCCCCTTATCCATGCATTTGTTGATGGACACTTACATTGCTTCCAAATCTTAGCTGATGTAAACAGTGCTGCAAAAAATATGGGAGTGTGGATGTCTCAATATGCTGATTTTCTTTCTTTTGGCTACATACCCCAAAGTGGAATTGCTGGATTATATGGTAGCTTTATCTTTAATTTTTTTGAGGAGGCTCCAAACTGTTCTTCATAGTGGTTGCACTAATTTATATTATCAACAGTGTATGAAAGTTTCCTTTTCTCCGCATCTTCACCAGCACTGGTTATTGCCTATCATTTGGATAAAAGTCATTTTAACTGGGGTGAGATGATGTCTCATTGGAGTTTTGATTTGCATTTCTCTAATGATCAATGGTGCTGAACATCTTTTCATAAGCTTGTTATTTTTATGTTTTCTTTTGAGAAATATCTATCCAAATATTTTACACATTTTTAAATTAGATCAACAGATTTTTTTCCTATAGAGTTGTTTCAGCTCCTTATAAATTTTGGTTGTGAATCCCTTTTAATTTGGAGAGTTTGCAAATATTTTCTCCCATTCTGTTGGTTGTCTTTCCCTTTGATTATTTTCTTTATTCCACATATGCTTTTTAACATGATGTGATTCTGTTTGTCTATTTTTGTTTTTGTTGCTTGTGCTTGTGGGGTACTACTCAAAAAATTTTTGCCCACACCAATGTCCTCATAGTTTCCCTAATATTTTATTTTAGTAGTTTCATAATTTGGGGTCTTAGATTTAAATCTTTCTTCTGTTTTGATTTTGTTTTTGGATGTGGCAAGAGATAAGGGTGTAGTTTCATTTTTCTGCAAATGGATATCCTGTTTTCCCAGTGCCATTTATTGAAAGGGCTGTCTTTTCCTCAGGGTCTTGACACCTTTGTCAAAAATGAGTTCACTGTAGGTGTGTAAATTTGTTTCTGTGTTCTCTATTTTGTTCCATTGGTCTATGCATCTGTTTTTATGCCAGTACCATGCTGTTTTAATTACTATAGTTCTGTAGTATAATTTGAAATTATATAATGTGATTCCTCTAGTTTTGTTCCATTTGCTCAGGATAGCTTTGGCTATTCTGGGTCTTTTGCAGTTCAATACAAATCTTAGAGTTATTTTTTCTATTTCTGTAAAGAATGTTGTTGGGCATTCTTTTTATTGGACAGTGATGGCATTTGGACAAAGATGGCATTCAGTCTGTAGGTTGCTTTGGGTAGTATGGATATTTTAACAATATTAGCTCTTTCCATTCATGAGCATGGAATATCATTTTATATTTTGTATCCTCTTCAATTTCTTTCATCAATGTATTATAGTTTTCATTGTAGAGATTTTTCCCTTGTTTGGTGAGGGTAAATCCTAGGCATTTATTTATGGCTGCTATAAATGGGCTTACTGTTTAAATTTCTTTTTCAAATCATTTAGTGTTTGCATGTAGAAATGTTACAGATTTCGTATATTGATTTTATATACTGAAACTTTACCAAATTTGTTTATCTGTTCCAATAGTTTTCTGGTTGAGTCTTTAGGATTTCCAAATAAGAAGAAAATACAATCTGCAAACAAAGATAATTTAACTTCTTTCTTTTTAATTTAAATGCCTTTTATTTTATTATCTGGTCTCATTGCTCTAGTTGGGACTTTAAGTGCTATGTTGAATAACAGCGGTGAAAGTGAGCATCTTTGTCATGTTCCAGATCTGAGAGGAGAAGCTATAAGTTTTTCTCCACTCAGTATGATATTAACTGTGGGTCTGTGATATATGGATTTTATTATGTTGTAGTATGTTCCTTCTGTACCCAGTTTCTTTAGGATTTTTATCATGAAAGTAAAATAAATTATATCAAATGCTTTTTCAGCATCAATGGTAATAATCTGATGGATTTTGTCCTTCATCTTATTGATACAATGCATCACATTTATTGATTTGACTATGTTGAGTCACCTTTGCATTCCTGGGATAAATCTGCCTTGGTCACAATGAATGATTCTTTAATGTATTGTTCAATATGGTTTGCTAGTATTTTGTTGAGTATTTTTGCATCAATATTCATCAGATATATTGGCTTTCTGTTTTCTTTTTCTTTTTAGATATGTCTTTGTCTGGTTTTGGTATCAGGGTAATACTGCTTCATATAATGAGTGTAGAAATATTCCCTCTTCCTCTATGTTTCTGAACAATTGAGTAGGATTGATATAAGGTCTTCCTTAAATGTTTGATAACATTCTGCAGTGAAACCAATAACTCACAAGATTTCCTTTGCTGGGGTACTTTTTATTACAGCTTCAATCTTGTTACTTTTCATTAACTTGTTCATGTTTCGAATCTCTTTATGGTTCAATCTCAATTGACAGGTTGTATGTGTCTAGAAATTTATCCATTTCCTCTAGATTTTCTATTTACTGGTGTATAGTTACTCGTAGTAACCACCAAAGATCCTTTGAATTTCTGCATCATCAGTTGTAATTTATCTTCTGACCCTTGTATTTATTGGGGTCATCTCTCTTTTACTGTTAATCCAGCTAAAGGTTTGACATTGTTGTTTGTCTTTCCAAAACATCGACTTTTTATTTCATTGATTTTATATTTTTCTTCATTCCAAATTTATTTATGTCTGCTCTGATATTTAGTATT